AAAAATGTGACTTTGGTGATTAATTTAAGCTTGACTTTTTTTTCTTAAACTAATACATGAAAATCTTAGTTAATCTTGCGATTTTAATATAATTGCAATTTTAATATAATTTTTTTCCACCATTTTTTCGCAATTTCTAGTGCGTTCTTTTATATGCAAAACAGAACAAAAATACAGAAACACACACATAAACAGACACGTTAACTAACCTTTGGTTTCGGTACTGGAAAATTTGGAAAATAGACCATGCATTTTTTTTTCTCCCTTTTTTCTTTTTTAGTATAACGAACGCTAAAAACAAAATTTGAAATTTTTTATACACATAAACTTATAATTAAATAAAATTACAAAGCATAACTTTAACATTAAAATTTAGGTAAAATTATAGACATTGTTATAACATAAGTTACTGAAACTATTTCAATCATTAAAACTGAATTATGTCAAACCTGCTTTTGGAAGCTACAACACTTGTCAAATCTCAAAGCAATACCTTATAATTTAAATACTGCATGACATAATGACATGGTTGAAAAAAAATTACCTTGCACCTGCACCTGTTAATGGAGCAAGTAATGAAGTTAGCACATAACCTTGCTTTCCAGTTGTGGTTGATTTGCAAAGTATCCAGTAGTCCAAGTCATCACTTATCATGGATAAAATTTCGCCTCTTTTATAAGACAATTGCGTTGAAAACTCAGGTGTAATAAAGAGATGTTGCTCATTTGATGAACTTTTAGAATAATCATACAATGCAACAAAAAAAGAAGGAACCAATTTTTTTTTTAATCTTTTTGTCTTTCCCATCAAAAGTAAAACATTACTAAAGTAAAGTTGGAAGTAAATTTTAGTAGTACTAGTTTTAGTAGATATATTGTTTAAAGTATAGTTTTATTTATATTATTCTAACTATACATTTTTTTTTATGTTATTGAAATGTATACAATTTATATCGTTCGAGATAAAACTTTATCCTTCTTTATAAGTAGTCTACCACCTTAATGCAATATGAAATATGTTATTATTTCAAAAATTAGATTACTTTTAAAATTAAGAATCTTATCTTAGATAATTATTATCAACTACTAAATTCAGGGGCGCCCGTGGCGCCCGTTTTTAGCAAACTTATATAATTTTTATTTATTTTAAGAAGTGAGGTAAGGACGGGGGAGTGAAACATATAAATAATTTAAAGTAACATTTAAAATGTCTGAAAAATTGTTCAAAATTAAAAATATCTAAGTTAAAAAAATTTATTTTGCAATTTCCTCTATAATAATATAATAGATTGCGCCTTAATGCCGCGAGCATTAAATAGGAAGTACAAGAATATTTAATAGAAAGTTTTACGACATCATATTTACAACGTTACTGAGTCAGGATTTAGACGCGTGTTTGTCACGATCGAGGCGTAATCCATAAACACGTGTATATTACGGGCAGTTTTACTCTAGTTTTACACGTATTTTTTAAGGTTTCAAAGTGAAATTTAAATGTCGCATGGTTTTATTAGTGGTTTCGCATTCCTTATGAAACTTATTTACTACGTAGCAACTATATTTATTACTATGTATATTTTGAACTTTATGTTTATGATATTTATATTTGTATATTTTTACCGCCAATCTGTGATTGGTTATAAAAAACAACAACAACAGCAAAAAGAACAATTCTACGCTTCCGTAACGGTGTAACCAATAATATTTTACTTTTGGCACGTGTTATTCTTCTTTTTTTTAGAAGGTTTTAAACACGCAACAGAAACCAAGCGTAATTTTCTGAGTTGTGCCGGCTGGGATTATCGATAATAACCATTATCTAACAATTATTGTTATTTTTATTTATACTAACCAAAACTTTTATAAGTTTTTTAAGTTTAAAAGTATTAGGTTACTCTATACAAGTATCTATACAAGTTTTGTAACACAATCGTTTTTGCCAAAGGTTTATCTTGAAATAAATCTTTGGCAAAAGCAATTGTGTTACACAACTTGTATAGATACTTCTATATAGTAACCTAATACTTTTAAACTTAAAAAACTTATAAAAGTTTTGGTTAGTAAAAATAAAAATAACAATAATTGTTAGATAATGGTTATTATCTATAATTCAAGCTGGCACAACTCAGAAAAAAAATTACAATTGGTTTCTAATAAATGTTTTTATAAAAATTATTTTAATAACTTTATCCAAATTTTTTCATAAGAAACTTTTGTAAAACATTTTGCAAATTTAAAAGTTATATGAATGTTATAGTATAAAATAATAAATCATATAAAAAAAAAAAAAAAATAAGTAATTAATTCACATAAAGTAATAAAATTGTAAAAAATAATAATAATAAGCCATAATATGTATATAAATAAATATAAATATTTATATACTTAACCATAAAAATCATGTATGACTTTTTAAATTAATTTAATTTAACTCACTAACAGGATTAGTGAGTTGTTTAATGAAATTCGTATTAGGTGTCTTTATAAACTTGTCAAAAACGTTTGACGCTGTAGATAACGCATTCCTACTTAAAAAAAGAGAAAATATGGATTATTAGCCAAACTCAAAAGTGGTTCTGAAGCTGTTTAACAAAAAAACAGTGTCGCTTCATATGAAAATTATTTCTAAAATTTACTAAAATTAACATGCGGTTCTTTTTTTTCTTTTCTTATATTTTTCTTATATTAATTTCTTGTTTCTTTCTTTCTTCCTTATATATATAAATGGCCTTTTTTAATTAACGATCTGTATAAAATTTTAAACTTTAAAATCTCACTATATGGTATAAAACAAAAATGTTTTCATTAAACATAGAAAAAATTAAGTAAACTTTATTTTACTTCATTAGCGAAAAAACGCTTTACCGACAACTTTACTCTTGCTAGAAATCAAAAATATAACTATTGAAAAAGTTCAAGAAACTAACTTTTAAGGAGTTGTAATTAGTTAAAATATCTTTTACAAAACTTGCATGGATGCATCAAACAAAAAAATGTTAAAAAATTTAAGTCTAGTTTAAAAGTCAAAACTGATGTTGTAAAATAATTAAAAACTCGTATATTTCTTTTTTATGAATAGCTATTTTATATACGCAAATATAGCTTGGGCAAGTATGCATAAAACAAAGTTAAAAGTTTTATATCGACTGAGAACATGCTTTTAGATTAATTTATTACAACTTGAACTCTATTTGAAGTAATAAAAGCGCTAGAATATAAACTAAGTTTTGGGATTATATGATTTTTTTGAATAACTTTTTAAAAGAATTATCATAAATAAATTTAAGAGAAATAAGAAGCTTTGTTACACCATTCAAAAAAACAAAACTGTCTTTTAACAAACAATTTCTTTATTTCGTGTTGTGGTCCTTTCTTACACAGCAACTTTGTACCTAAAAAAAAAAATCAATTTGTAATCTAGATAAACTGCTTAAAAACTACGTTAAAAAATCTTGAATTTGAACAAATATTCTAAACGTTAGAATCTAAACTTTTCTAGCGGAATAAAAATCGTGCTAAAACAAAAACTTTCCAAAAAGAAAACTATTCATTATAACTATTATTTATTTCCTAAGTAAAGTTGGAACAACCTAGAAAAAAAATCTAAAAAAAGTTGGGGGTAAAGCATAAGTGGCGATGACGTCTGTCTGACGGGATAAACTAGTTATAAGTGCTGATCCTCATCGAAACGCCAGTAAAGGTGAGTTTCCACTCATCCGTTTTTTTCACGGGAACGGGAAAGGGACGGGAAAAATAATCACGTGGGCATGCGTAGTATAAGTTTTAATATGTCTGATGGAAAACTACGCATGCTCTCGTGATTATTTTTTCCTTTCCTATCCCGTTCCCATGAAAAAACGGACGAGTGGAAACTCACCTTTAGACGCGACTCTGAGGAGATGTTTAATACTTAATCACTACACAAATTATGTTTATTAGCCAAATTCACGTCAGAGGCCTGGATCTATTTGTAGGGAAAAAAATAAAAATGGTAGTTTTATTTACAACTTTTTTAGCGAATCTAAAAGTTCTGTTTGTGTTTTTTATTCCGGGAAAAGTTTGAATTAATAGCTTTAACTATCCTAGATTTTAAAATAGTGAAATGGACATGTGCTTCTTCTATGTGTTTTAACAATTTAACAACTTCACTTCTAAAGACGCAAAGGGAAACCAATAGGATTTTATCGCCTTCCACGTGTAGTAGCTATTCAGAACGAATACAAAATTTTTTTTAAAACAGTTGGAATGAATTGGGATCACGGTCACATTTGTGCAGCTCATTGGAGTAATGGATGAGAAAGTGCAACGTCGTTACCCGATATCTTTATTCCTAAAGATCAATATAAAAAAAATAGTATAAAAATATAACATAGCTAAAGAAACATATGTAAAGTATAAAAACCCTAGTGACAGTATAAAAAGTCATTTAAAAGTTGCAAAACAAAAATTCGAAATGGCAACTGAAGTTTTAAATGATCTTTCAAACAAAATCGTGTTGAAATAGATACCATTCTGGCATGCTCATCGATACAAAAAGAGCCTTCAAAAAAGAAATATAAGAAACAGTTAAGTACAGCACTACTCAAGATATCAAATCTTAAAAAAAAATTGATAGAAGCAAAAAATCAAATTGAAATGCTTCAAGCACAAAATAAAATCTACAATAAACATAAATATAATTTTAAATATTATGAATTACATAACCAACCAATTATTTTTAAGTACTTATATGGACTCACAGTTGAACAATTTAGTTTACTTTTAAATTCTGTTGAACCATATACTCACTTAATTCCATATACTGACTGCAAGAATAACTCTAATCGAAGATTGATCGATTTACCAACTGAACTGTTATTTGTTCTTACAACATATCGACATGGACTCAATCAAGGAGTTATGGCAATTTAAATATATCAAAGTCAACTACTCAAAGAATATTTATAGGATGGGTTATATTTCTGTCAACCATACTCAATGAAATCGATTTAAAGCCAGAATCTGGTTTTTTAGTAAAAAAAATGCCAAAAAGTTTTATTGAAGCTGGACATGGTCTTACTGATTTAATTATTGATGCAACTGAGTTTAAATTCCAAAGTGCTTCAAACTTTGAGCTAAATTCTTTGATGTTTTCTAATTATAAGAATACCCAAACAGGAAAAGCTTTGATTGGAATAGCACCACACGGTGGCGGCCTATTATTTAGTGATATATATCCAGGCTCAATCTCAGATTCAGACCTAACAGAAAAATCCGATACTATTCTGTTTGTAGAGAAAGATCATGAGATTATGAGTGATAGAGGTTTTTCAATACAAGAGTTTTGCGCAACGAAGAGAATAACATTAAATCGTCCAAAACAGAAAGATTCTGATTGATTTTCTCAAGTTGATGTGGCCCATAGCTTGACATAGCTTCAACACGTATTCGCGTTGAAAGGTACATTGGATGAATACGGGATTGGGGAATTATGAACACTAAATTTAACAATGCCTCCTATAGGACCAAAAAAATAGTATTTAACAAAATTGCTTTCATTATATAGTTTAGTTTATTTCTCTTAAAACTCGTAGGTCAAATTTTCCAAGAGGTATTAATTAAAAATTGAAAATTTAAACTGTTGAAATTAAAATTGAATCCCAACAAAAAACATTTTTTAAGATACTAAGATAATTATATTCAGCAACTTTAAATGTTATAATAAAATACTAAAATCTAATTCATCAACAAAATAAATAATAGGTCCTTTTTTAGCAATTGCTTAAATTACCTCATATATTTTATTTATATGTCATATATATATCATTATATTAGCTTTGTCTTATCTTGTTATTTTAATTTGTGAACATTACCATTAGTATTTTCCTCATAAATATTCTGTATTTACTTAATATTAGTTAATTTACTGTTTGTGAATAATTGTGAAAGTAAGGCCTTTATTCAGAATATATATTATTGATTGACTGTATTGATATGACTGTACCTAATATCTTTGCCACAATGTACAACAATTATTGACATTTAAAAATAAAAATAAACAATAGTGTTGAAAGATCAATGTTATTAAATAACAAAATTATCACATTGCTTGAAAAAGTAAAAAAAAGTAAAAGTAGCATCTGAAAGTTTCTGTTCTCTTGGCTACCAGTTTTTGGCAATTTATTAAATTATTTAGTAAACCCATAACATTATTAAATTATTTTAACCCCATAACATTTATAGCAATTATGAAGTTTAACCTTTAATTTTATTATTAACTATTTCTCTTCTTTTTGTTGTTGTTGTTGTTATTGTTGCAAGATTCAATGTACTTATCCTTTTTAGTAGATAAAACTTTAATTTTACACAATGTCTCAGCATTCAGAAAAAAAGTGTATTGACGCAAGCACAAAAAATATTGGTCTTTGCACATCTCCTTTAAATAAATTTGTATGGAATATGGCTAACACAAGAGTATTATTAGATTTATGGAAAGATAATTACAAAGCATTAACATCTGCAAGAAGAAACACAAATATTTACAAACAAATGGCAGCTGAATTTTCAAACACATTTAATATCATACCTCCGTTAACTGGATATCAAATTCAATTTAAAATTAGTAATCTGAGGAAGCAATTTAGGTATGTACATATTCTACATTTAATGTTTGATACCTTACTGAAATACTGAAAGTATTTTACAAAACTAACCATGTGTAATAATATCTAATTGCAATATAGTTTGTAACTGAGTGTTATATTTAAAATTACTTAAATCTTATTCAGTACTAAAGATTTACAGCTCGTTGATAATTATTTTCAAAATAATAGGTGGTGAAGCTTCCCTTGAAAATGACCTTTTATCTCAAAGTCAAAACTTTTCTACTCAAGATTTTCAAGATGGTCAGGTAAGTTTAGTATAATTTATTGTTGTATATTTTAAAGTGCTATATATTTTTTAAAGTAATATAAACAAGCATGTTAACTATTTCTACAAAATAAGGTTTAAGAGGTTCTTAGTTTTGCAACATTTGGGAGACTTAAAACATAAAGATCAAAAACATATAATATAAAGTTTTTGAATTATAAAAGGGATCTTTTAATATTGGCTAGATCAATTTGTAAAATGCTATTGTCTAAATAGATCCTTTTTGTTTAGGGAAGGAAGGGAGTAAAATGACTTCAAATCAAGTCTTTCAAAGTCAAGAGATAAATTTTGATTGAAACATGATTTATAATCATTTCTCAAATATGTAATTTTTTTAATGTGTATATTTTATTTACAGATTGCCACAATGGAAGATGGCAAAGAGACTGTCAGTATTTTAAATATTGAATCTTTAGATGATACAAGTGATGTGCAATCAATTGTCACTATTCCTGATGAGGAACCAACTCAATCTACATCTGGCTGCAATAAACGAAGGAACTCTGATGATGAAAAAATTTTGAATAAAATAGCAAAAACTAAACCGGTGAAAAAAAATAAAAAAACAAATTTTTCTTCTGAATATTTAAAAATAGCAAATAAAAATCTAGATGTTCAAATCCGTTCACAAGAGCTACGAATCAGAGAGGTTGTTGCTTTAGGGTGTATTTGCGATGCAATTAAAAATGCATCTAAAGCCCAAGTAGATGTGTCTAAAGCCCAAGTAGAATATTATAAATTTTTAATAAAAAAATAAGGTGTTCTATTAGTCAAGATATCTTTTTAGTAATTATGTTAAAGTTGAAAGGTCAGTATTTTTCCAACAGGATACCTTGTTTACAGTTCTATGCAATATATATTTCATAAGGTTTTTCAATGTTTTAACTAAAGAGATGGTTAGTGAAATATTGTACAAGCTTGTAGATGAAGCTCTAGTTATATATATTTTTTCATGTTACCATATTACTATTATCAAAGGAATTTTTACTTTATTTTTTTTTCAGCCAATCGTTATCGCAATAATTTAGACCTTTCTATATTTATGAACGGTAATGTACTCAATGAGTCTCCTACCCTTCATCTTCTAGGATTAACTCTTCTGATCTTTCTTGAAAACCTTATATCAAATCTGTTGCAAAATTAGCATCTGCTAAAGTCGCTCCTCTTTATCGAGCTCGTCACTTTCTTACTCTAGATTCTATTCTCTATCTCTATAAATCTCAAATCCGGCCTTGTATGGAATACTGTTGCCATATCTGGGGTGGATCTTCTAATGATGCCCTTTCTCTTTTAGACAAGGTGCAAAAATGCATTATAAACATACATGGACCTACTCTTGCAGCCAACCTTCAACCTCACATCGTCGTAATGTTGCTTCCCTTTCTCTTTTCTACAAATACTATAATGGGCACTGCTCTAAAGAGCTATCGTCTCTTGTGCCATCTACTAAAATTCACTCTCGTGTTACTCGTCATTCAATTAAGTCTCATCCTTTTTCTGTTACTGTTCCTAAGTGCTCTAAAAACTCTTACTTGTCTAGTTTTTTTCCTCAGACATCAGTTCTTTGGAATTCGCTTCCTTCATCTTGCTTTCCTGATTCATATAATTTACAATCTTTTAAGTTGTCTGTCAATCGTTATCTTGCTCTACAATCTTTATCTTTTCTCTTCCATAACTTCCAACACTAATTAGTGGTTGCTTGCAGCCTTGTTGGAAGCAAAGATGTTGAAAAAAAAAAAAAAAAAAAAGTAAAATAAAAATATTTTGTGATTTCAAGCATTAAAATGCATATCTGGTGGTATTTTTTAAATTTGTCATGTTATTTTATAAATACCTTTTTTTCCATCTCTATGCTATATATATTTAGTATTTTTAGCAAATAATTTTTTTTTGCGATATGAAGCAAGCCTGTAGATAAATTATAGTGATATGTTTTTTGCCAACGTGTTTTGTTTTTAATTTATACAAATTGCATTACATGTTTCATTTTTGTTTTTGTTAACAGATCATGCTGTATCAATTCTAACAAAATGGTTTTTAAAAATGTGTTTTAATTTCCCTTGAATTGTTGTATAATAAGTATTATATTTATTTAATATATTTATATAGTTTTAATAGCTTTTTAGGGAGACATCTGTAAAGGAAAAAGCTATTGGAAAAACACGGAAAGCGTTTTGGATGTACTTCGAGAACCTCTTTCAGTAGTAAAACGTGTTGCAGTTGCATTACATTATTTAGCTTCATGTGAAGAGTATCGTGTTGTGTCTAGCCTTTTTGGCATAGGAAAGTCAACAGTAAATTTAATTGTTCATGAATTTATTAATGCTGTTAATGACATTTTGCTCCCTAAGTATGTTAAATTTCCTTTGTCAGTGGAAAATTTAAATAAACATAGTAGAGATTTTAAAGCTATTCTTGGTTTTTCACAATGCGTTGGAGCTGTTGATGGATGCCACATCCCTATTTCAGCCCCTAAAAATCAAGCAATTTCTTATTATAATTATAAAAGGTGGTATTCCATTGTACTTTTTGCCGTTGTAGACTGTCGATACCGTTTCATTTATACAAGTGTTGGATCGCCTGGTAGAAATAATGACAGCTATATTTTGCAGAATTCTTCTTTGAAAGCAATTTTAGAATCAAATCTATTTGATAAATGTTGTAAAGAGCTGGGCAATTCTCTTGTTCCGCTATGTTTCATAGGTGATTCAGCATTTCCTTTAACGCGTCATTTGTTAAAACCTTATCCTGAGAATTTGGAGCTTAGTGAAATTCAAAAAAATTTCAATAAAATACTTTGCGGAGCTAGAAGAGTAGTTGAGAATGCTTTTGGGCGCGTTAAAGCTCGATTCCGTGTAATTTGCAAACGTTTGGAATGCGATATTAACTTTGCTACAAGAATTATTAATGCTTGTGTCACTCTTCACAACATTTGTGAATATTATGACGATATTATTATAATAATATGGCTTATGCATCATCATGATGACAGTCTAGCTCAACCAAATACAGTTTCTACAACTGGGAACAATAGACCAGGAAAAAATGTTCGTGACTCAATTGCTAAATACCTTTATGAAAGGGACAAGTAAAGTAGTAATAATATTATTTATTATTTAAAGCTTTAGCTGTAATATGGTTATGTATTTAGTAGTTTTGAACTAAACTTACTTTCCTTGAGGTTATGAAATGTGTCTAAATAAATAAATATTAAATATGTATGAACACAAAATGAGATTAGTTTTAACTGGTCGTGGGTAACTTATTAATGTATAATATGTTTATTCGGTACTATACCACTGATGGACTACTATTCTGTGTCGTCAAAAGCGACTAAAGGAGATATAACCTATCCATAAAAGCCAAGAAACGGGATAACAAAATTCCAACGTCACCTTTTGTATGGCGGGTATTTTGGGTTGGGTTTCTATTGTCTAACTCTGAGCTAGCTGAACCCTCAGCGTTATTTGCATTTAGTTTTACCTCTCATAAATGAATAAATATTAAAAATTAATAAATTATATTAACAATGTGTATTTGCCAAACTGTTTTTCACTAATTTTTATTCGAGTTTTACTTACAGTTTTTTGACTCGTTTTTTCTTTTACGTACCGTCAAGCCAATTTTACATGTGAACGCTACAAGTAACATTTTGTTCCAGGAACATTTGTTCCGGAATAATGTTCCGCCGAACAACGCTTGTGAAACATGGTATTAGGCTTTTCATTGTTATAAGCTGTTTTATTTATTTTTAAATATTCCTCTATTAATCTTTATTTTTGTTTTGACAACTGTCAAAGTATGCTTAGTTCAAAAAATAGTTCTCCTTTATTCTAATGTACTTCATTTCTTCACTCAGGCGTTCACTGCTTGTGTGTGACCATTTGGCAAATTTTATAAGCCAAAGTTTTTAAATAAACTTTTCTAGCGGAACAAAAATCTTGCTAAAACAAAAAACTTTCCAAGAAGAAAACTATTCGTAATAACTGGTAAATTTATTATTAAGTTAAGTTATTATTTAAGTTGCCAATAAAAACTTTATAGAAATAGAACAAAAAATGAGGGAAAAAAAACTTTAACTAGTTTATATACAAACATTACTAACATTATCGTTTTTAATGTCATTGTTATTATTATTATTATTTTATTATTAAAACTATTTTTTTTGTCTGTTATAATTAAATAATTTACAATATTCATAAAATAAAGAATAAATAAAATTAAAAATATATATGTTATTATCAGTCAGGGACTTAAGGTGGTTCATCTATAAAAAGGTGGTTCATCTATAAAAAATTTTTTTTGATAAAAATAAGCTCTACTTAAATAATTTTTTATTTTTTAATAATAAAAAAAATATTTAAAAATTGAAAAAAAAAGTTGAAAGTAATTTGCCTCGATTATCCATACTTTTTAGCACACTTTGGTGTAAAAAAACAAAAATTCCATCACAGGACAACTAAAAATGTTTACATCAGATAGTGCCAAAAATTTACATACTGGTTCTAAGCTACCTTATCTCTCATTTGTGCCATAGTTTTTTAAAATACATGCTCCTGTGTGATGATATACATTTTTTTAAAGATTGCACTAAATATCAACATAAATGCGTGTTACATTGCCTAAAAAAATATTTCCCATTATCGGTATTATAAATCCATGGCATAAATGAATCTCTTTTGTGAATTGTGAAAATTTCAAGTCAAAAGAAAGTGTTTAACTAAAATTACAATGTTTTGAACTGTAATTCAATGTTTGAATTGTAAAAACTAAAAATCAAGTAAATCAAGTTTTAAAATTATTTTTATAGTTTTAGACAATTACAAGTTGAACGCATCAAAAAACCCCAGCTTCATATCCTAGTTGTTACTTTTGGTTTTCAATACCAAGATACCTTTTTTTATTGTTCTTAAAGTTTTCCTAGGTTCTTTAACAGGTTGACGAGATTTGTGTTCCATATGTGTTATTCGAAGAATATCTTATTCTGAGTTTTAGCAGCTGTTACAAAACCATCACATCTAAATGATGATAAAACTTCTCTAATACCATTTCCTCCATCATTAAAATGTAAGACTGCAGAATATACTGCCATTTCAAAAACCTCTTTGGTAACAAAAACTGATTTTGAACACTTTTGCCACAGTAATGAATTAAGACATTCATTAGCATTTTGAGTTTCCACATGGAGACATTTTAATAACAAGGTATTAGCAGATAAATCAAAGATTATAGGCTTAATTATAACATGAATCCAATTTGGTAATGATATTTTGTTTTTATAGAAAGAAGTTCCTTTGATTTTATCATATTGCCATTCTTTTGTAAGTAATTAAATAGATTGTTTGTCATACTAAACATATTCATGCATTTTTCAAATTTCTCCATTCCACTGAAACCTTTTCCTATCTCATGAAAAGCAACAACAGCACGCAGGCTTGCCTCAAACACAGTTTTTCCTTGAGACTTATCTGTAGTTGAACGCTTCACTGATGTGTTTGAAGACACAATAAGTCACAATAAGTACAACTAATTTTGAACAAATGACAAAAACCTTTTCGAGATGTTAGGTTATCTGTTAACGTTATTGTAATGTTACACTCAGGGCATTTTAGAAGTGATAATAGATTCTTTAAATTCCAAAAGTTTACAATAGATAAATAATTTTCATTGTTATTAACACTTTTATTTGTATCATTGAATTGATATTTTTTTCCAACTAATTTTCTTTCAATTGAAGAGGCTACCTTGTTGAACAGACACAACATTCTGCTTTTTTTGCTTTTGCGATGTAATTTCCATGAAACTTTTTCTTTTTTAAACGTACAAAGTTCTGCTTGTTAGAAAATTTTACAATCTCCATATTCCTAGCAAGAAACGTTTGTATAAAAAATATATATTAAGCTGAGATGAAACTCGAAGCAACTCAAAGAGCAGCTGTAAGCCTTATTTTTAATCCTAAAAAATGTGGTTAGCGTTCTATCGGATGATTCAAAATAACATTTTGAACTTTTAAAAAAACGCAGACCTATTTTCATCTGCTTATACGCATGCGTTTAAATTAAAAACAAGCACGCTGGATTTTTATAAATCGAGTTTATAAAAATTTGCACGAAGTTTGCTTTATATAAACTTTTGCATTATTATTTAAATAAGAATGAGTAAAGATGAACTTTCTCTCCAATTGGAAGATATATATATATATATATATATATATATATATATATATATATATATATATATATATATATATATATATATATATATATTGTGTATCTGTGTATATTTAACATATACAACGTATATTATAATTTTATATATATATATAATTTTATATATTTGTTTAATTATATATATATTTAATAATATATATTTATTTAATTATATATATACATATTGTATATCAGTATATATTTAATATATACAACGTTTGTTATATACACACATATACAATAATATTGTAAAAGTGTGTATATAATATTATTATAAACACACATTTATACATATATAACTATAACTATACTACACATGTACATATATAACATACTACATATGTACATATATAACTATACTGCATATATATAGTTATAGTGTATATAGAATATTATGTCAGAAGCGCTCGTTTTATAAAAATCCAGCGTGCTTGTTTTTAATTTAAACGCATGCGTACAAGCAGAATACATAAACATTCTAGGTGCTTTTGTTACTTAAAAGCATGACCAAAAGTGTTCATAATTTGCATAACAAATAAAGCACAGTATACATAAGATTCATATTTCAAAAAATATAATTTAAATGAGTTAAGGATAGGATGATATAAATAATTTTTTGGTTGCCAGTACGTTGCTATATGCGTTGCTATGCGTTTTAAAAATACATAGTACACGGTTTTGTTTAATAACAAAAAAACTAAAATATACTTTAAACTTTTTTTTTCACAATAAAAAAGCTGAATAAATTTTGTACAAAAATCATCCAACATTGAAAAAACGATTTTTTTTTAATTTTGTGCCTTTTTTTATAGGTGAACCACCTTAAGATATATAAGTATGATATATTAATCTTCACATACCATTTTATAAAGCTCCTTTAGTCACTTATTTAGTAACAAGTAAATTGTTGCAACAAACATCTAGAATACACCTACTAAAAAAAATACAAAATTATTCAATACAACTAAAACACTTTTTTATTTGGTGAAAAAATGTGAGCAAAAAAAAACTCCATAAATTTTTAAAGAACAAACAAAATTAACAAAAACAAATTAATACATAAATGTTGTTTCATTAATAAAATACTATAAAACATAAAGCTTCGAATACCGCGTATTTATATTTTAGAACAATTTTGAAACATATAGAAATTCTATAACAATAGTTTTTTAAAGTATAAAGAATTAAAAGAAAACTTTTATAACAGTTTCTGCAAAAACTATCAAAGTGTCTTAACAAAATAAAAGTATCAAACTATTAAAAAGTTAAGTTACAATAGTATTAAAAAGAATTAAAAACTTATTTACAAAATGTTATTTTAGAACATTATTTTTTAGGCTGACGAATCTATGAACGAATCTGATTCTGAGCTCAAATTTAGTTAGATGCAAATTAGTTAGCCGTTAAAACGATTTTCAAGCTTTAGGGTGGAATGCAAGAAGTGAACTTGAATCAAGCTCAATTTGAACTTTACATTATAACCAACAGCGACAGAGTATGGGTTTTGATTCTTCGAATCTGATTCTGAGCTCTAATTTTACGTGTGTGCACTCTAACCCAGAGAATGGGGCAACGGCGGGGGAAGGAGAGAACGCCGAGATTCATGCCCATACTTTTTTAAAAAATTTCAAATAAACTATAAAGTATAAATTAAAAAAAAGATTTTATAAAAAAAAAAATTCTTTCACCACCCCCCGCCCCATATAACAAATAGCTCCTCGATCCCCGTGACTTGCAAGCTAATAGTTGGCTAGGTTGCTTGGAAAAGGATATCATATCCAATTCATTATGAAATATATTTGAGTTCATAATAATTTGATATTAAACACAAATATACACAGATATTAGTCTTATTGATTTTTTATGGTCACATAAAACATTCT